TGGTTTGTTCAGAAGCTGTGCTGTGACCCCTGGTCTGTGTAGCTCACCTTTGAAGAAGGCTAGAAATCTGTGTCCCTAGACATTTCCTCTAAACCTCCCAACCGATCTCCTGTGCTCCTCCCTGCCAGCAGGACCTCAACGTCACCACTGAATGGGAATCTTGGTCTCCTTCCACCCAGCCAGGCCAGGCAAGTTTCCACGAAACTACAAAACTAAGAAGCTGTTTATACAACTTGACAAGAAAATAAAATCACAGAAGCAATGAAAGGGAGAACTATATGCCAGCAAAGAAAACAGAAGTACTCAGCAATAATAAGAAAGTAATTAGGTCTGGGGCACCTCCTGGCAGGCCTGTCACATTCCTTGTGTGTAAAAGACTGGCAGATCCGCCTGTTGGAATTGCTGGAGGTGAGGCAGGAGGGAAGGCACAGGAGCAGTTGTGTTGACTCAGTGTATGTAAAAAGGCAGGCTGGAGAGTCTTAAAATATCTTTCATTCATGCTGCCAGTTCTGAGTGCTGAAAGCAGAGTTGTTTTCCTCAGCAGAACACATCCTGCTTCCCCTTCAGATGGGGTTTTGATACCTTTCCCTGACAGGAGCTCTCTTGAGAACAGGGAGCACTCCAAGGATGACTTCTCAGCACCAAAAAGGGCCCCCAGTGACACCATTCCCTCCTCCACACACACACACACACACACACGCACACAGAGCATGGTGCACACTTTGAAGCCATGAGCTCTCACTGGGAATGGGCTCATGAATTTCTTCTTAAATTCGAGGTTTTCTGAAATCAATCCTTCTTGCGCTTCGTAATTAAAACACACACAAGAAGCTGGTTCTAGTTTCCTCATAAATAAACTGAAAATGATGAAAAGTTGGGGGCTGGCATTGGCTGTCAAGTTTTATGGCTGTCCTGTAATTACTTTGGTACAAAAGAAATTTGTGAGTGTGTGTCTAAAATTATTATTTGATAGCCATGACCACAGTTCTTAAGATAATTAAGAACTGTAGTCATGTTTTGAAATAAAGAAAAATTGCTTGATAAATGTTCACCCTCCCACCTAACTAAATAAACAACAGAATGCTGGGTTTGTGTATTTTGTGGTCTATCTGAATACTTGCCATTAGAGCAGACACTGGCCTGACAAAAACAATGATGGAGAACTAAAATCCTGAAGGACCTATAACACTATGCTGAGTCTTATTCCTCACAGCAGGACTGGAGTGAAAGAGTCAGTGCCACGAGACCATAAACACAGTCAATGATTGAGAAGTGTCAGTTTTACAAATGTACAAGTATGGGGAGCACATTAGGTACAGATCAAAATTAGCAGTACTGTGGAACGGAATGCAAAATGCACACAAACCTCTATTACAAGAGCCCTTTGATCTGACAACTATACCCACAGGGTGCTGCTGGAGGGTCACCCTTCCTATTACAGAGTCTTAGTGGAACCATCTCCAAATATCTCTCCTTGGTCCAATTGCACCCCTGCACATAGCAATACTGCCATCAATTCTTAATTCTCCACCCACTATTCTAAATTCTGCATGCATACATTTGAATAAAACATATCAAATGAGAAGGGAAAAAGGAAGTGATCTGCTGTTTTATCTGGGAAGTCCATCTTCAAAGCCCTGTTTCTATTTTCCTCAGTGCTAATCATGCTTGACTGCCCTCTTACCCTTTTTAGCAGTTTCTAGTAGGAATGCATTTCATCTTGAATTTCATAGATGGATCACAGTCTTGGTTAATGTTTTTTAGCTACAAATGCCTATAATCAAAACACATTGCAAACTTTGCCTACCTTTCACTCTACAACTCAAAAAAAAATTGTAAAGCTCTATAGTTCATTAATTTGCTAGTGGCTTTTCTCTATAAAAGGTAGTTCAACCATGCTCAGATTTTACTTACAACAAAAAATTCTTTTAGGCTTTCTCTCTGCTTGCCATATGCAAAATTAACCGTTTACACTGATTGAGAAGGGATCAAGCATTTTTTAAATAAAAGGTAATTTATCTTTTCAAGTATTCTGGGCAGGTTCAGTACCTCACTATTCTTTATAATCCTAAAAGTAAGAAACTCATCTTCAGCAATCCAAATATCTTAAACTCCACTCACAAAACAAATCAAAGGGTTATTCTTCATCCTACAAAAACATTTATCACAAGATTCAACCTAAGGTTGAATCAGCAGCCCCTACTCTCAAACCCATTAAAATTTGGTTGGTACTTACATAGCTTTCAGGAACTAACAGAACTGTTTAAAAGCTCAGAAGGAATGATGAATGAGCCCAAGTCCTTAATTTGGCAAGTGAAGAAAGTGAGACGGAGAGGAATATGAACTGTCAAAGCTTCTTAATGGCAATAACTAGGGCTTATCAAGGGTATACAGCCTCTCACATCAGCACCACATCCACCACTTCTAAACTGCCATTACCTCTTGCATGGACAGTGCAGGAGTCTCTTAAGTCCCTCCCTTCTACACACTATTCTCTCCCCAAAGGCCACTCCACACAGCGGTCAGAGGGATGTGGCTACAACAGAAGGTCAACTGTCACACCCTTGCTCAGCAACTTCCAAAGGCTTCCCATCTCCCCAGAGCAAAAGCAGTTTGTCCCCTGACCACAACATTGCCTTACCTCCTCTCTCCTTCTTCCTTTTTACCTGCTTCATTATTTTCTCTAATATCTTTAGCACGCATCATAGTGTGTATTTGTTTATTCACTGCCTCTCCCCACTAAAATGAAATCTCAACAAAAATGTCCCTGTTGAATCCACAGTGCCTGGTAGATAGCAGGCACTCAGGATTTCTGTAGAGTAAGTACTTGCTCTGGGCCAGGCACTCTTCTGAAGAAGGTGCTGGAGCCAAATTACTTAATCTCCATGATAGCTCAAGATAGCGTTATCATCAGGGCCACCATCACCATCACTATCATCTCTGGGGAAGAAACTAAGGCAGGGAAGTCAAGTAACTTTTCCAAGATCACCTAGCTAGTCAAAGTGTTGGAGATTTTCAGTGCTTTGGGCTGGTAAAACAATTTCCCAAAACAAATAAGCAGAAAGAAGCAAGAAGTTTTTTAGCACACAGTCAAGTAGTAGGTAGCTGAACACAAGGGAATATGGCTGCTGCTGTGCGTAAACAAGGATTGGAACAGGTTTATTTGTGGAAAGCAAAGCAAAAGTGGGTGGGCAGACTCCAGAAGGAGTGCTGCCTGGAGGTCCCAAAACCTCAAGGTTTTTTTGGGGTCTGCAGAGATAGGTGTGGTCAATCCTTGAAAACTGGGCTATGTGTCATTAACTCTCAGAGACTGGGCTATGTGTCATCAACTCCTCCCACATGTGGGGGTGGCAAAAGCGGGGAGATTTTGGCCTCAGATGGTCAGACAGGGGCTGTTATTGTTCATGGGCTCCAGGGGCAGTAGGTCAGCAAGACCCTGATGTATGTCACAAGTCAGCAGTTCAGGATATACTTTTCCTTATCAACATCCAAACTCCCTGCCTAGTTCTCATCAGGAGAGACAGGATTGGAACACAGGGTACCAACTCATTAATATCATGATATATTGTATTACTTTTAGCTTAGCTAAGAACAAAGAACCACATTCATGCTTTATTCTCTATGCCAGACTCTTAGAATTGAGATATACCAAAGTATGCTTTCAAAAATACCAAGTTTCCCAATATTTTAGAGTAATTAATGCGTGTAATTTTTGAACTCAGAATGGTAAACAAGTGTAAAACTGTAAGCCACAACTGTGCTGCCATTCAGCCTGTAATTGACAGAACCACTTCCACAAAAGATATGACTGGGATTGCAGGTGTGTACAGGTAATTCTTCCATCTTGACTGAGATTACCATCATTAGCTCTAGTCTATAAAGGAAAAACTAAGACACAAACAATTCAGTGATGTTCCAGGCCACACAGCCAGTGACACCTTCTGAGGGCCCCTCCTGGGTTGCAGTAGGTCACACATGCTCCTGGTTTATTAGTGTAGAACACCCTGTGATTCACACGATGGAATGTGTAAGCCAAGGTTGTCATCTAATAGAGGGTGTGTTGATACAGCTTTATCTAAGAAGTTACATCATCGTCCTAATGGAAATGCATAAAGGAATTTGTACTATAGAATAAAAGAGGGGTGTATTCCTTAGGAAGTACTCCACAAAGGATGTCAGAGTTTTATTAAATTACTACCCAAGATGTGGGCAAACGACTTGTAAAACACAAGGGTGTTCATCTTAATTTGCTAAAATTTACCCAAACCTGCCTGTGCTTCCATGAGGAAAACAGGCCTGGTCGTCTTCTGCCTCCTGGATAGGGAAGTCCCTCCCTGAGTCCTTTCCTTCTTTGGAGTCAAATGTTCACTTCTGCAGACCTTTGATTCTTTCTAATATGGGCAGTGAAATGATCTTTTCTGCTTTGGAATACCCGCCCCCACCTTCCCTCCACCTGTCCCACTATTCCTCTGCCCTGGGGTCACGGCACAGGGAAGGTTAGCGACTAGGACGCTGGGAGGGAGGGGCGGGAATGTCACAAGCACCTGTCACCTGGCAGGCCTCGGTCCTCCCTGCCCCAGTCCCCCGGCCCCACCCACCTTCCCGCGGACAGGGTCCCGCCCTCCGGCACGCTCCGACCAGGACAGGCCCGTCCCTCCCGCCACCGTCCAATGGCCGAGGGGCAGGGCAAGCCGAGCAAGCTGCGGCAGCCCAGCCGGGTCCCCGCCCTGTTCCCGGTTCCCGAGCCGGGTCCCGGCCGCCTTTAAATGCCGCCCAGGGCCGGCGCGGCCCGGCCTTCGCCACCTTTCTTTCTTGGACAAGGACAGCAATCACTGCAGCACCGCCGGCTCGCACTCGGCGGCCGCGGTCCAGGTCCGGGCAGCCGTCGCCACCTTGGACCTCACGGGCCACTCCGCCTCTGCCTCCCCTCCCCCTCCTCCCCGGCCCAGCCTGCCGGGTCGGCGCCGGGGCCCCCGGCGTGCGCGCGCGCGTGCCCGTGTGTGCGCGCGCGCCCGCCTCGGACCCGCGCCCCCGCTCAGCGCGAAACCGCCCCGGGTTCCGCGCCCGCGCTCCGCGTCCAGCGTCCCCCGCCGCCTGGCCGGCTGCCGTGCACCTCGGTGCACCGTGCAAGAACATGGCGGGATCGGTGGCCGACAGTGATGCCGTAGTGGTGAGTGTGGCGGGGCGCACGCGAGGCGCCCCCTTCCCGCCGCCGCCTGCTGCAGCCGGGGGCTGGGGTGGAGAGGAGCTGCAGGCCCAGCCCGGCGTCCCCCCGCGTGGGAAGACGCCCTGTACCTGTTAGCACCGGCCGGCGGTGCGCGGCCCGCGCCGGGGCCCGGGAGGAGCTCTCCCGACCCGAGGGCGCTGGGGCTGGGGAGGGTGATTGCGGACGACAGCCCCCTCCGTGTCCACCCGTGCAACCGCCGGCCAGGTGTGTGCACGTTGCACGTGAGTGTGCGCGTGGGTGAGTGTGTGTGTCGCCCCGCGACCGTCCCCGACGTCCCGGGGATTCCCCCTCGGAGATGGGGCTGGGGCCGCGCCAGGGGCTCCCGAGAGAAGTTGAGCGCTGTTGCTCCACTTTCAGCCACGTCCCCGAGGGCAGGCCCGGTCGACCGCGGTTCCAGAAACATTTGTGGTTGGAGAGGGGCCTGCAGTCCTCTTGCATGGGGCACTGGCTCCTCCGGTGGGCCTCGACCTTGAATTTGATTTGGATCTTCGGAGGCTTAGCTACGGGATGGAAAGGATGGGTTTTGTTCGGGGTGGGGTGTGGGGGGGGGTTATGCGGTTATTTAATCGACTAGGAGGAGAATTTGCAGACACTGCCTGTGTGACTGAGGAGGGCTGCTGGGTTCCACCAGATTTGTGTGGGTTCTTCCCCCTCCCTCCCCTTTTCCCTCCACCTCCTAGGAGAAAAGGGTCTGTGGAAAGCCAATCTGTGTGCTTCTATTTTTAGAAACTAGATGATGGGCACTTAAACAACTCCTTGGGCTCTCCAGTGGAAGCCAACGTGTACTTCCCACGACTGGTAAATGCTTTTCTCTGTGCTCTGTATCTCTGCCTGTACCTTCTTCCGTTCTAAGTACATTTTCTTTGCGTTTTCTAATGGGTCAGGTCCTCAGGATCTGAGGGCCTGGCTTTTCTCTAACAGCCTGTAAACTTACTGTTTCTCCTCTTCCCCTTTGCAGATAGTTCCATTTTGTGGGCACATTAAAGGTGGCATGAGACCAGGCAAGAAGGTGTTAGTAATGGGCATCGTAGACCTCAACCCAGAGAGGTAAGGCAGAGTCCTGTCACCACACAGCTGTCAGGCAGTAGTAGGGCCCTGCCCACTCCTGTTGAGGCTGTCTCCTCTCTCCTCTTCTTGGTGACAGTGTTGCTAGTTGGGAGTGCCAAGAAAGTACCATGTTCCCATGAAAAGAATGTGTATGAATCCCAGCCATCATTTCTCTAGACAGCTATTTATATCAGAGATGATAAATATAGCCCCACATTTTCTCTTTGACCCTTAGGGAGGCCAAAGTGGTTTTTTTTTTTTTTTTTTTTTTTTTTGTGGATTTGAAACATGGTGCTTAGAGCAAGAACTATCAGTATAAACAACAACCAAACTTTATGAGATACTGTTTCCTCTGACCAATTTCTGGGACTGTTTTTGAAAATTCTGAAAAGGATTAAGACACAGACTTGTGGGTAGCCTGGGATATTTGAAATCTGTCATTTTAGACATTTTCAATTCCACCAAAGTTTTTACCAGAGCCTGCTTTGGGTAACAAAATCAGTTGGTTTGAGTGTAACCCTACTGCTCTGTAGTCTAAACTCAGACAAACTCAGAAAAAGCCTTGGGTCATGTTGAAATGTTATATCCAACTCTGAATAGATGAGACTATTTTCTTTTTAGCTTTGCCATCAGTTTGACTTGCGGTGACTCGGAGGATCCTCCTGCTGATGTGGCAATTGAACTCAAAGCTGTGTTCACAGACCGGCAGCTACTCAGAAATTCATGTATATCGGGGGAAAGAGGTGAAGAGCAGTCAGCAATCCCTTACTTTCCATTCATCCCAGACCAGCCATTCAGGGTAAGTTCCTCGAGAACCATGGCCCCAACCATTGGCAGAGCTGGGATGTTCTGATCTAGGGTGTGCCAAGAGCACTTTCAGCAGCCAGGATTTCTGCATGTCTAGGAAATTTGCTACTTGATGGTGAAAAAAGAAAAATCGAAAGATCTCTGTTTATTGATAGAAATTAATACTCACCATGGTAGCTTTTGGGTCTGTTCAGCCCATACATTTAGTAAATACATGAGTATTTACATATCGAGATCAAAAAGAATATTTAACTACAACTCTACTTAGTTAATATAGCAAGTGTTTAATAAATACTTTCCTATATAATAGCTAACATAGTATGTCATCTAGTAAATACCTGCCCCCAAATATCTGATTAATTGATAAATATTACTGTCAGAATTTCCCTCGTTTTTTTCCTTCAGCCTTGAAGGATCTTGAAACTTTATTAGTTAGAACTTTTTAAGCAATTTCATGATTATCATTTCATTTTCTCCCATTCCCTTTGCTAACGAGGCCATGTCTGCATCTTTGTTTCCCCCTCTTAAGTTAATTAAGCCTCAGTCTATTTCATGGTCACAGACCATGTGGCTGATAGATTCTTTCCCTTGGGCCTGGATGAACGTGGAATTGCTCCCCACTATCTAGCAGAAAGGAAACACAACCCAAACTTGCCATCTAATCAAGCAGCATTAGCAGGAGTCTTCCTCTATGCTGGGTAATGCCAAGTAAGAGATGCAAGTCAGTAATGTATTTAGAAGGACTTACTGAAATGTCAGACCGGGTGAAAAGTTGTCTTCATCACATCCCATTATCATACATAACAGTAATGGCAACTCAGTTAAAAGCTCTGTGTTGCATATAGCCCTAACATGTTGTTTTTCATCTGGAAATTTTCAAAGGCCTTATGATTATTTTTTTTTCCTTACAGTCTGGGAGGAAAATAAGAATCCATGACTTTTACATCAGTGATAAAATTGAGATTTTTGCCCTTCTAATCACACACTCTGGAAGGCATCCCTGCCCCATTGTCCCATTCTATCCCCTTCTTTAGAATGGTAATGTCCTCTTAGGCTCCTCTTGGCCAGAGCAGTTTTTTAATGATGAATCTTAATGTCTAGCTCAGTAGTGTGAGCAACCAGAACTTCTGGCTTCCAGGAGGAATATAATGCTTCCCAATAACAAAACTGGAGTGAAACAGGCCTTTCTTGGTGATATAATTTTAGCAATAATACGAATTAAGTGTGACTAACATCACATATAGAGTCTCTTTGCATGGTGAATACCAATGCTTTTAATAAATACATCATAACACAGAAGCAATAATTAAGCTAAGGTGAATTACTTAAGAAAAAGGACAAGAAAAAGCTTCTACGATATGGAATCACTATTTGTGTTTGGCTTAACAAAGCCTTGTTAATTACACATTCTTGGTCCAATGGTAATTACTATGCAACCTTCCCTCTGCCTTAGTGTTTACTATGTTTGAGTGTCTACACTATTATTACATGCTGCTAATGGATACCACTTCTGCCTCATGAGGGGTTCCTCTAAAGGTGGGATGGAATTGTTCAGGGGATGATAGTGGAGGCTTAAGTGCCATACAAACACATCTGTGCTACTTTACGTTACTTTCTGGAATGCAGGGAGAAGTGTTAAAATCTAAGCAGTTTAAAATCTTTAAAGGATATTGAAAAATATAGGGCAGTTCTCAGAGTGTGTGCCCTGTTCTAGAACCATCAGCATTACCTTTGGATGTGGTGGAAATGCAGATTCTTTTGACATTACTCTAGACCTACTAAATGGAGAAATTAGGAAGTGAAACCCCGAAATCAGTATCTAAGTAAAACCAGGGGGGAGGTTGCCTTTCTCTAAAATGAAGTTGCATTTGTTTGTTTTCTTCAGCAGCATTCATTAAATTGTGTGTTGAGATTATTCTTTGTTTTTTTCCAGGTGGAAATTCTTTGTGAGCACCCACGTTTCCGAGTGTTTGTGGATGGACACCAACTTTTTGACTTTTACCATCGTATTCAAACGTTATCTGCAATTGACACCATAAAGATAAATGGGGACCTCCAGATCACCAAACTTGGCTGATGTTGTTTAAAGCACTTCTATTTCATGTAGGATCAGGTGCCACAACTATATGACTGTCAGTCTGGAAGAAGGTCCTAGCAAGAGCTGGAGACTTAAAAAGAAAACAAAAACAAAAGGCAAGCTTCACTGTCTCTTCTTTCTGTGCAGTTTAAGTCCAAAATGACAACTTTGACTATGGTTTGCCCATAGGAAGAAAACTGTCAGACAAAGACACCGAGCCATTATTCCCAAAACAAAGTAATACATTTATGCTGGATTTTATTCAAACTAAACTAAAATGGATTTGTGATGATTTGTGATTTGGTAGCAAATTATTCATCATTTTGAAGCAAGGTGATGTTTAGAAACAAAAGTACTTAAAGACATTAAAAGCAACAACGGTACATGAAAATCAACGCATTTCTGCACTGAAGTGAAATTGTGTAGCACAACCAACATTTTAGTCAGGGTATTTACATAGAATGTAGGTTGTTCAAGGTTTGGTTTTTTGTTTTTTTGTTTTGTTTCGGGGTTTTTGCACAGCATAGTGTTAACTCGGATTTTTGAAGCTTTCTCGTAGTTATTTATTTATATTCAATGTATGTATTAGAGAATGAGCAATGTCTCAAGAACAGCAAGGTGAACTTTTGAATGTATAAATACCTTAGGTCCAAGGGGGAAAAATTACATATTATACTCATAAACAGGTGAATTTACTCCTTAAAAATTGAGTCATATTCTCCATACTGTTGGACTTAGACTCTCTTCACATAAGTTGCTCTAAGTGCTTTTGGGAAAAATTTGCAACATTTCGATTAAGACTGCTTTCAAGTTATTGTCAATGATGTGAAATTCTGTTTGCATTGCTCTTTCTCCTTACTGTGAATTAGCACAGTATTGGCTTCCTTAAAACTAACTCCTTCTCCCTAGATTTACATAATAGCTCATTAAGTTGTTATTAAATTAATTGAAAACATATAAGAGGTGATTGCATAGAAAATTTTTTAAATGGCTATTACATAAACTTTTAAAAGTATCATATGAAAGCTGCAGTGTAAAAAGCAGAAGCAAACGGCCCCAAATGACTTACTTGGAAATAATTTATATCAACTTAAGCTGTTAGCTCATTGTATAACTTTTCTTATGTGACCCTCACCAATATCCCTAAGCAATGCCTTTGGAACTTCAGAGTAGATACATTCTACTGTATTGGCTTGGAGGAGATAGTAGAATAAGAGAGGATCCAGATTAGGAAAGGATCCGGTTAGTTTATCAGAAAGGTCCACTCCCAGGACTCCATGTCTTTTGAGTACAATCTATACTGAATGGAGTTGTAAAATTTCCCTGCACTCAGGGAACTGATCAAAATGTAGCTTGTTTCTGGCAGGTGGCTACAGACTATAAATGTCACCTAAAAGGCCAGGGATGGTTGGAGCCCTGGGCATTGGACTTCGCAAGCTGCATTGGCCCTGGAGAGAAGGACCCTTGGCATTGCTTTTGCCTGTTAGTGGGGGAAGAAAGGGGTGCTGGGGTGGGGGTGTATTTATGTATAATTTAGGTTTTGTTTGTTCAGCATAGTATGTCTTTTTACAACATGTCCTTGTCCTCTTTGCTTTTGATTTTTTTTTTTTTTTACACAACATGCAGAGGCACTGAAGTGGCCATGTCATATTCATGTGTCAAGAATGTAGACAGTGTTTCAGTACCAAAGTCTAAGATAAATAAAGCAAACTAAAATTGTGTTTTTTATAGGTGATATATTTGGATTCATATCAACTTTGAAACTGTTTAGCACAGTTCCATGGTGTTATGTACAAAGATACTCTTAACAAGACCAGCTATACATGAAAAAGCTTTACATACCAGCTGACTTATTCAGCCATACTCAGCCATGAGGGCTGCTCTTTGGCCCCAGGTATTTTCAAGCCTGTGATTAACTTCCCGTGGCTTATAAAGCCATTTATTAGGAGTGTTTGTAGAAAGACTTAGAGAGCACCCTGAAATATATTTGTAGGGGTTTTGGTTCAACTCATAGTGGAAGACCCCTTGGGAGGACTCTTGAGTAGCCAACCATTCCCTACCCACTGCATAATTGAGCAGAAACTAGAGCAGCAGGGAGGAAAAGTGACTGGAAGTAAAACTATTCTCTTTACCTATCTGCTAACTCACTAGCAGCCAAGCCCTTAGGCAGCTTAGTGTGAAAATACAGTGTTAACCCTTCATGTCCCTACAGGTCAGAGGGAAGCCCTTGGATAAGTCTAGTGGGGTTAATCTAAATGATGTGATGATTTGATTTAGGTAGAGCTAAATGAGTAGGGGGCCAGTCCCACTGTCCTAATGGTTAGCTGGAAACTGGAACATGTTTACCCCTTTCCTCACCCTGTGAGGTCCAAGGTGGGAATTTTAGGATAGAAAGTGCAATTTAAAGGTTCACAGCAAAGTATTTGCATATGTAAGGAGTTATTTCTAACCAGAGCCCTAGTTTTACAATAACCAAAACCAAGGGATAGCAATCAGGCTCTGGGGAAATAAAAGGCAGGCTTTCGACAATCTTTCTGCAGCAAAATTGGAATGAATGTGTTTATCTACTTCACAGTTAATAAAAGTGGCTTCTACTTTCTGGGCTATTCCAGAATTGTCTTAAAATTATTATTTTTTTAAATTTTGAAATCCCATTTCAAAATTCGCCAGCCTCACTTTCAAAACCACTAAGAGCTCACTCTTAGAATTGATGATTTGTTAAATGACAAATCCTTCCACTTGTAGTTAAAAGAAAATCATCCAAAAAGAGGGAGAAAACCTATTGCCTTGAGAGAAACACCCTTGGCATTTTCCGGCATTGATGTAGAAATAATGTTCTATGATGACATATTTTCAAAGAAACACTTTCTTATTTACTGTATGGTGTAAAAACATTGCTACATGTGTTGTTACATTATGTCACTGCTGAAAGTTATTTGCACTATAATAAAGGAATTTTCTACAAGATGGCATCCAGTTTATTACATGCTGTATTTGACCTCGGTATAATGTACTTAGCAAAGACCATACAGGGTAGCATTGATCCCTCACTCACGTTACATGACCACTTTTTCATGTGTTTCCCACATTGAGAAAGAAAAGAAAGTGTCTCAGAGCCCCCCTTATGTTGTGGATACAGTGGGTTCTTTTTTAATATAATGAAAAAGTAAAAAATAGAATAAATTCTGCATGCATTAAATTTACTTTTTGGTATACAGGTCTGTGAGTTGTAACACATGCATAGATTCAGAATGTATCATTTGAATAGGGAACCAGAATCATCACATATCCCCACCCACCCCAATTCCCTTTTGTAGTTAAACTTGTTCTCTGACCCCTAACTTTGATCAGGTAACCAGTGATCTGGTTTTCCTCCCTATAGTTTTGCATTTTCTGGAATGTAATAAAAGACAGAATCACACAGTTTTTTGGAGCTGGCTTTTAATTTGCATTATGCATTTGAACTTCACGCATACTGTATTTCAATAGTTCTTCCTTTGTGTTCCTGAGCCGTTTTCCATTCTATGGATGTGCTGTAGTTTCTTTATCCACTCACCTGTTGAAGGACACAGTGGGTTCTCTCTCCTTTCTCCCTTTTTCTCTGCCTCCATCCCCCTCTCCCCTCCACACACAGTTGTGAAATGGGATCTCTTTATGCAGCCCAGGCTAGCCTGGAGCTCATGATTCTCCTGTGTCACAGGTACTGGACAGTGGGTTCTTAATAAATTGTTAAATATAGTTTTAGCACATTGTAAGCCTGTATTTCTCTTGCCTTCTCTTTCCTGTGGTTTGAATGATCAGGGAAGAAATTTTATCCTTTAGTTATTCAGCCTACAAATAAAACTGGATGACTTACAGCAGTTTGCCCAGCTTTAGATACTAGTTGATGATAGAGATTTACTTACATGCTAGATCTAGAGTCCTATTCATACCTTTTAAGGTTTTACTAATTGCTCTAATTTTTGTTAAGGAAGCAGAACTGTGAGGCTGGTTGGCTGCTTGCTCTGTCATTGCTTTGGCAGTTCAGACCGGGCAGGGCGAGGCCGACTAAGGCGAGGATGATTTGCTGAGGCTGTTGGGCAGAGATAGGAGAGCTTCTCCTGTCCCCAGCCAAGCAAGGAGGGCACCTTGGGGGATGTGACATTACAGTTGTTTTATGACAGCATGTTGAATGAGATGGTCTAGCAGAGATCAGTAATTAGAACCTCTGAGTGCCACAATCCCTGTAGGGCCTTCATTCAACAGGTATTTACTGAGCTGTGTCAATTGCTATTCTAGGCACTTGGGTCCACCAGCAAATAAAAGACAAAGGTCTCTGGTGGTTTTAAACTTGAGTGTCCTAAAGAATTGCTCAAAATCAGCCTATTTAAGTCTTGACCTCACCCTGGGAGATTCTGTTTCAATAGATCTGGATTGGACCTAGGAGTTTATTTTTAAGAAAAATCTTAAATAGAGGTGGTGGCCCTGTATCCCAGATGAAGCAATTCTTCCTTCAGGAACTCCCACAGTTAAACCCTTGGAATAGGCGGGCCTTGAGAGTCTGATCTGTGGATATTGTTCCATGAATACTGCTTTTCAACATAATGGCATTCTGCCCTGCCACAGTCCTATAATTGTCATACAACATTATAAGTGCATGTCCTTGTCCCTGACCTAACCATCTCCTCCCCACCAACTCCTGTCTCTATCTCAAAAATATATTGTAGTGAGAGAAAGTTTTCCTTTCAAATAACTCCTGTAAAAGTTCTCTGTGTTTGGGTTGGTTTAGGACCTAGGTAGCACTCACATCATTTTACATAGGGAAGGGTCCTGGAAAGATGCAGATTCTGGGGGAGGCCTATTTCCTTCCTGGTAATAAGCATTTCAATTATTCACTAGCGAATCACCAAGGTGGGACGCAGCTGTTCAGTGAGGCACACACACACGGTGACTTACAACTTGTAAAGAAGCTACTGGCAAGAGGTAGTGGCCCAAGTGAGCTTTCATGAGACTTTGGAAATGAATTTAAAGTCTTCATAAGAAACTGCACTTGAGTCTGCATTACTGCCTCCAGCCACTTGCTTCCTAAGCACTATGTTAATTTCACAATGATTTTTTCCTTAAAAAAAAAAAAAGTCTCCCTCAAAAGGTAGAGAACTGCCTTGTGAAACATATACTTCATAATTAATTAAAATGGGCGTATCTAAGGTGCCGAAACAATACCCAACAGAAGGAGCAGGGGAAGAAATAGCCACTGACGCTTTCTCTTACTTTGATACACCCTTCCATCTCCCAGAGATGGTGAGGAAGTGAGCAAAACAGAGTAAGGAGGTGCCATTGTTTGATAGGGCAACACAGACAGTGCCTAAATAATAGGCAAGCCAGCCACAGGCCTTGGGGATGATGTGGGATTTTGGGTGCCTTCCAAGCTTTCCTGAGTCAGAACGATAACGAATAGTTGCTCATTATCGAGCACCTCCCTTTCTGACAATATTCTGTTGTCTTTTTATTTTTTTGGTTTTGCTTTTTTTTTTTTTTTGAGATGAGGTTCTTTCTACATTGTCCACCCTGGGTTCAAGTGATCTTTCTGCTTCATGTCTCCTGAGTAGCTGGAGCTCCAAGTGTGCACCAAAGTGCCCACTTGTGACTAATTCTAAAGCAATAGATGCAAATAATCAAAGCTTACTTAAACATGTGTTCTGCGAGCTGGGTGCCTGTGCCCCCTGGATTTGACAAGTGTGCTCAGATGGGTGCTTCAAACCTCCAGCCTTGCCTTACCTCCTGTGAGAAGAAGGATTGCAACAGCTCTTGTGACAACATGTTTGGAGGGCCAAAGGTGACAACAGGTTGTTCAGGAGTAAAATGGTTCTTACAGCTGATGAAGCCAAAGTTTAAAATAATCATGATACCAGTTTCCATAATCCTCCACAATTTTATAAAGAAGCAGTATAAAAAGTGCTAATCTTCAAGACTTCTAATTCATCGGAATATCTTTTCCACTTCTGCCATTCTTGCTGTATTGCACTACATTGGAAGCATTGGGAAACACTGGTCTTTCATTTCCATTTTTTTCTCCATTCCTCCCCCTACCATGCAACATGTTGTTCATCTGGTTTTAATACTGCATAAATATGCATTGTCTTGTGCCTGTTGGCTTTGGAGGCTGCATGCTGAACCATAACAAAGTACTGCCTCTTTTTTGTTGTCTGTTTACAGCTGCTTGCTTTAAATTAGTGATTCTGAAATAAGTTTTCTTGCCTGTCTAAAATAAATATTGCATGTAAAAAAAAAAAAAAAAAAGAGCCGGATGCTGGTGGCTCACACCTATAATCCTAGCTACTCAGGAGGCAGAGATCAGGAGGATCACGGTTCCACGCCAGCCTGGGCAAATAGTTCATGAGACCCTATCTCAAAAAAAACCCATCACAAAAAGGGACTGGTGGAGTGGCTCAAGGTGAAGGCCCTGAGTTCAAGCCCAGCACTGCAAAACCAAAAAAAAAATAATTTATTTTTCATATAATTTTATTGGGGTCTTACTGAAAATCTAAAGGAAATTAGTATAATAGGTAATATTTAGAATAGTGTCTGTAAATATATTTGGGGATATTTTGACTGAATTATTATAGTGATTCCAATATTAGAAAGCAGGGATTTCTCCCAATGCAATAAAACTGACCTTTAGCTCAGCATACAATGACAGTCAATGTTATAATAAAAAGTTAACAAGGAAGATGTGCGCAAAACAACAAGGAACCGCTGAAAACAACGTGTTTTTTTTTTTAAATGAGAGTCTTCATGGTGTAGCGTGGTCTGTTACATTAAGATTCTAATTAGCCACTCATTTTTACCACACATGTTTTAAAATCCTCGAATTAAAAAAAAAAAAAAATCCCACACACTATGAAACACAAGACCAGTCTTTCATTGGAGGGGGTTAGAAATAGACCTGTTCTCATGAGGCTGTGATTAAAGTCAGGAATTGGGGTTATCTCACAGATTTGTTTACAGACACTTAACATTATCTTTGCTTTTGTAAGTAATGTGAATTCCTGTCTTGGGAGTCCCCTTATGATCCTCAAAATGAAGTCAATGACTTTAAAATTTTAATCTCCCAAATTGAAAGGGCAAATACCATTCTTTTATATAGTTTGTGCTTTTAAAACATGTCTGTACAGTTAATTCATCTCCATAGCTCCTCTTTCCTATAAGAAAATCATTTAGAACTGGTGATAATGGAGCTAGATGTGAATTGAGCACTTTTATAAGAAGGCACCATATCTGACACTGTGGGTTATAAAAAGAGATGTAAAATGCATGCCATCTGCCATTGAAGAATTGGTTCTTGTGATTGAACTGGAGAGATGGGATGTGTGCATATAAAATACATGTAAAGAGGAAGGCCCATAAATACTCAAAGCCAGACTGAGTGGGCAGCACACTGCGTCCTATGAGGAGTTGGGAGGAAAGAGCTTGTAGCTGGCTGGGGTAATCCAGGAGGTTGTTGTGTCTAAAGAATTCCAAGTGAGCTTCCAAGGACCTGAGAGCCCTCACTGGAGTACACTGAATTTCTCTTTGATCTGTGGGGCCTGGGGGGTGTTTCCTAAAGCTCAGCGATGTAGTTGAATTTCTGGCCTCCCCAAGAAAGAATTCAGGGAGGAATGTTGTGCTTTTTAACTGCAAAACATACAGGTCTGGCTGGAAAGGAGACCCTTCGTTTAACTAAGCAAAAAGAGTTCTGCTTCACAACTATCTATGAGGAATTACGCAATGAGTGCATTTAACATGCTCAAACTTCAACTCCACAGAGTTGCTATCAAAACACAAACAAAGCAAAAAATTTCGCTTTTTCCTTTGAAAAAGTCAAGAGCCTAAGAATGGGAATGAGAGTCTAACGTGCCTTGCATTGGTGATTTCCAGGGTCTCTCATACTTGGGCTGCAGTGTTACACCAGTGTTTAAAGATACTGTTAGTATCTCTTACACATTGCTAACCACAAACCAAATCCTTCATCAAGTGCTCAACAAAGAAACAAAAATCTGCTCCAACGCTGGATGAAAACTGTAGTATTGGATTTACTAGGA